TGCTGCTGCAGTGGTTATGCCAGGCTTCAGTGCTGCTGGGACATCCCTCTGGTGTTTGCCATGCCTGCAGCAATCCTGGGTGCATTGAGGGGCTGGAGCGTGGCCAGGGCAGGGAAGGGAGCTGGGGAAGGGGCTGGAGCCCCAGGAGCGGCTGAGGGAGCTGGGAAGGGGCTCAGCCTGGAGCAAAGGAGGCTCAGGGGGGACCTTGTGGCTCTGCACAGCTCCTGCCAGGAGGGGACAGCCAGGGGGGGTCGGGCTCTGCTGCCAGGGAACAGGGACAGGACAAGGGGAAACGGCCTCAAGCCGGGCCAGGGGAGGCTCAGCTGGGACAGCAGCAGGAATTTCTCCATGGAAAGGCTGCTCTGGCCTTGGCAGGGCTGCCCAGGGAGCTTTGGAGTGCCCATCCCTGGAGGTGTCCCAGGAAGGGCTGGAGGTGGCACTCAGTGCTCTGGGCACTGGGCACAGCTGGGGCTCCATGGGCTGGCAGGGATTTTCCAGCCTCAGTGGTTCTGTGATTCCAGCTGGACCCGTGTCAGAGCTGCTGTTTGCAGGGATGGCTGCTGGCATGCTGTCACACAGCCCCTGGAGCCTCACCTGGCTGTTCTCTCTCTCCCCCAGCCACGATGAAGATGAGATCCGGCCCGTGCAGCAGCAGGATCTCCACAGGGCCATCGAGAAGATGAGGAAATCCAAGGATGTCTCGATGCAGAACCTGGCCATGGAGATCGTGTTTGATTAAGACAAGAGAGTGTGTTTGCAGTTCCTGATGTGATTTAGTTTGACTTCTGTAATCAGTTAGCGAAACCAGTGTTGGGGGTGGGAGCAGGGGTGGCAAAGGGAGTTCTGTTCCTGGAATCCTTTTTATACAACAACAACCTCTTAAGTTATTGCAATTCCAACTGGAAGTGGAAGCACAGATCATGAGTGGAACAATTCAGCCCAGACCAAGAGCAAGTGCCTGCCTGTTGTCCCCAGGGGTCCCTGGGAGCCTTCCAGCAGGAGTGGGTGGTCCCAGGGCCAGGGGCAGGACCTGGCACGGGCTGTGTGTGTACAGATGGGTGTGTGAGTGCAGGACCTGTACATAGCCACACTTTTTTTTATATATAGACATAATCTGTAGATAACTTGAGTATGGAAAATCTTTTCTACTTCCTGAAGCAAACCAAATCTGAAGCTGTATAGGGGAAAGATTCCTCGATACTCAGTTCACTTCTACCTTTTAGCAGCAAATACCAGGATAGAAACTGCTCCTAGAACAAAGCAACATTTGAAATGCTACTGATTTTTCTTCACATGACCACTTGAAATCTGGTGCCATTTAGTCAAGATAGTAAACTACTCTGTAAGAATGTTTGAATACTTTTAATTTTTTATGAATTCTGCTTTTGAAGGCTTTTAAAATGAAGGCTGCTTTTATTTTTGGTTCTCCCTTGCTGCGAGCAGTTAGAGTAGAATCCCACTTGCTCTTTCCTAAAGCCCCACGTCCTCTGAGCTCTCGGAAGCCTGAGCTTCCTGAGCTCCTGTGCACTGTCCCAAGGACTTGCTTCTCCCTCCGTCTCTGCAAGCCCCAAAGTGTCACAGCCCTGAGGCACAGAGGGGACACTTGTGTGATGTTTGACTGTCCCAAGCTCAGATCTGTGAATTTGAAGAGGAGGAAATGGGTTTGGGGCTTATTGATGTGGTTTAGCAGCGTGCTGTCCTTGCTGGTACCAGTTCTGGTGAATTCCTGTAACGTTCTGTTGCGATTAAGGCCAAGGGTTACAAATGTGAGTGGCAAAAATGTTTGGGTTTTTTTGTTTTGGATTTTTTTTTTTTGTGAAGTTATTGTCAGAGATAGTCAAGAACTTAAGGTTTTTTCATATAATGCTATGAACTGTGCACTAATTGACCCCAAATCTGTAAAGGGAATTACTTGTTCAAAGCCCAGGGTTGGGATGCTGTGTCACAGCTGTGCTGCCTGTGAGGGGAGGGAAACATTGGAGAATGATGTAAAACAAAATGCACTGGAAAGGAAAATAAAGTGAAATAAGGAGGGCTGGAGCCCTGCCATGACATGGTGTCAGGGGCTGGTGGCAGTGTCCCTCAAGCTCAGCCTGCTGCCTGCTGTCCTGCCCTCTGGAATGCTGCCTTGGTGATGCTGCAGGGCTGAGTTTGTCCCAATTTAATCTGAAAAACAAATGGGAGGGGGAGGATAAAAATAATTGAATAATTGCTAATAATTGCTTAGACTTCTTCCCTGTATCAAAGCAATGGGAGATGCACAGTGGTCTAACATAGGGGTGCAGGAATTCAGTCACAGCAGAACTGCTGGGATATGGAAATGGGAAAAGTCTGGGATCTGGGATATCAATCCCATAATTCACTTTAGTGCTGGGGCTGGGTGAGCCTGGGGTTCAGGAATGAGCCCAGGGCAGGCACCAGGATGAGCAGAGGGATGGAGCAGCTCTGCTGGGAGGAAAGGCTGCACAGCTGGGGTTGTGCACCTGGAGAGGAGAAGATTTGGGGTGACAAAACTGTGGCCTTGCAGGGCCTGAAGGAGATACAGGAAAGATGAAGAGAGATTTTGGTCAAGGGCCTGGAGTGCCAGGACACAGGGAATGGCTTCCCAATGCCAGAGGGCAGGGCTGGATGGGATATTTGGAAGGAATTGTTCATTGTGAGGGTGGGCAGGCCCTGGCACAGGGTGCCCAGAGCAGCTGGGGCTGCCCCTGGATCCCTGGCAGTGCCCAAGGCCAGGTTGGACAGGGCTTGGAGCAGCCTGGGATGGTGGAAGGTGTCCCTGACATGGCAAGGGTGGCTCTGGATGGGCTTTGAGGTCCCTTCCAACCCAAACCAGTCTGGGATTCCATGAGTAGCCTTAAACCTGCCATTAGTGCTACTTCCCAGATTCCCTGGGAAGGATGGAATGGCTCCTGTGCCCGGGAAGTTCTCTGTGGTCAGGCCCTGCTCTCACCCTGCTCAGGGATGCTTACACCTGAGAAATGCCAGCCTGGGAAGCTCCTCCTGCACCTCCTGCCTTTTTCAGGTTGTGTCCCCCGTAAAACCCCAGCGCAGGCAGGTTTTAATTGGCTTTAATTGAGTGTGAAGTGTGCCTCAGGGGTTAATGTCACCCGAGGAGCAGGACAAACCCGGGGACAGCCCCTGGTCGCTGTCTGAGCCCCATCTCCTGCTGGTGTCTCCCAAAGCCCGGCTCTGGGCACGGAGCTGCCTTTCCCTGCTGCCCAAAACTCATCAGGGGCTGGCTGAAGAGGCACAAGGAGTTATTTCTGATTGCTCCTGGGGGCAGTTGCTGCAGCTGGAGTGCAATTCCCACTTCTCCAGGAACCCTTCCATACTTAGCCACTCTTGCTGCTGCTCTGGGAGTCCTTGTCCAAGGCTGAGGAAGCAGCGTGGTTTGGGATGTGGCTGCTTTAATTCCATGGCTCCAGAGGCTCGGTCCAAGCCTCAGCACCTGATCCTGCCCCTCTGAAGGGGGGAAGAGCCTGACCCTCTCCCACGGCTCCAGGGACACCTCAAGCACAGCATTGCCAAGGCTGAGCGAGCCCCCAGCAAAGTCCCACCCAAAAAAACACCAAGTGAGAGCTACTTACACATATAAATATTTATTTGTACTAAAAGTGAGTGTTTCATAGAGTATCGAGTTCAGAATATATTAAATCATGAGATGCATCAGCTGAGGTACAAATTCCAGTCTCATGTCTTTAATAAATAGACTATAAACCCCCCAGTCCATGTGTTTTAATCAGAGGTAATTAGGACACAATGCTGGTTTAAAATGATAATACAACATCTGTGCTTTGTTGTGACTACCTGGATTTACTGGGGGGGCAGGTTCCAACACTGGATTATTTTACGATGAGCAGCAACAGTGCTGTTTCACTCCTTAAAAACCCTAATTGGAATATCACTTTTGGCTAGCTGCCAGAGGGCCTGGCTGGATGAGGCTGCAGCATTTGCCTTGGTGGTAAAACACAGCTTTACTCCAAATACTTTTTAAAAAAGACTTCAAAAGGCCCTTTTGCAAGGATATTCTCCAGTCACACAGGAAGGCTTGGGCACCGTGCCCTGGCCACAGCAGAGCAGCTCACGGTACCAAGCAGGAGCTGGTTTGGCTGAGCGTGGATCCATCTGGAATTCCAACTGGAGCACAAGAGGAGAGGAACTGAGTGACTGC